CACATGTAATTTTGAAACTTATCCAAGGAGGCCTATGGCTGGCAGAGGCAGAGAAGTAGTGGCTCACTATGAGAGAACTCATTCCATCATCAACATTCCCATCAACTAAAGCTTGCTTTAATCTATTTATAAATGGGTTCCAAATGTGATTACAACTGAATTTTTTTAAAAAAAAAAGTTCTTGTATTTGAAAGATGTGAAAATATCTATATTAAATTGATGTCTTACTGCTATTACCTGTATTGCTGAGAAAAAAATGATAGCAAGCATTTATTAAGGGCATAATTTATTTACAAAATTAGTTCAGTAACCCAGGTTTCCCCTAGCCTAACCAAGAAAACATTTAATGCATTCAAATTGGGCTATCATTTCACTTTTGGCCAAGAAAAAGTTGAAAAGACCAATAAAGAAGGAACAGTTACACATATCAAAATATGAATGGATGTATAAATTTAATATGTCCATCTTACTGAACAGCATTGTACACTCAATATAAGAGTAGTATAAAGAACAGTTAGTGACTATTTCTCTTCAATAAGATATCCTTGAGCTACAATATTCCCATATTTACCTACTGGTTAACAGTGACAATAGTTAAAAGAAAAAGTGTGGGAGGGGCCTGGGTGGCTCATTTGGTTAAGTGGCCAACTCTTGATTTCAGCTCAGGTTATGATCTCATGGTTCATGGGTTCTAGCCCCATTGGTGGGCTTTGCACTGACAGTGCAGAGGCAGAGACTGCTTGGGGTTCTTTCTCTACCTCTCTCTGCCCCTTCACAGCTTGTGTTCTTTCTGTCTAAAATTAAAGAAACAAACACTAAAAAAAAAAAAGTATGGGTCTTTGCTGTTAAATGATTTATTCACAGGATTAAAAATAAGTGTTATGAATCATAAATCATAGTAATATACACTAGACTGATACTCCTTGATTATTCATAGGAACATCATAGGCATGTATAAACCACCACCTGTTTAAAACCACTCTAGAAACTTCACCAAAGTTTTATGATTACTTATAAGCAGCCGCACTAAAATGGGACAAAAGTTAAATTTTATATAAAGCAGATGTCACACTATTGAGAACAAGCCTAATAATCATCAATTTATTTAGGACAGGGTTGGAGTATCTATAAACTATGGTCTAGATTTAGTTAATTTTATTTAGCTCATGACTCATTTCTGAAAATACAATCTGATTTTTTAATTAGATTTCTTTTTGGTAAATTTAGTTTATGAATATACCTTAAAAATTAAGTTCACAAATATGAAGCATTATACAGAACTGTATCTGATTTCTCTTGTCTCTTCACACTATCACTGTAGGTTTTGTTAAGTGACAATCTGAGATTCACTTTCTTCAACTATAAAAAGATAAAAATTCTAATTAACACTGTTGATGAAGCACATATACTAATTGCTTCTCTTATATAAAACATTATAAAATGATAGTAAAGGAACTGTTTAAGTTATAAATACAAAGAGAGGAAGAGAATAGTTATCAACAGATAAGAGATTTCAAAAAATGTTTAGAAGGCAAAGGCAGATGGAGGCAGAGTAACTGACGCCAGAAAGCTTCTACCCAACTGTCTCCAAGGGGGAACTCTGATCATGAAGGAAATAATCTACTCCACGGACAACCTGAAAAAGCTCAGGTTTTAAAGATACTAGGTACCACTCAGGACAGCGTGAGACACAGGATAAAAAGTAAAGCGTTTGGCTGAAAATCTTCAGATGGGACGCCTGTGCCCAGGGTTCTTCCCCTTTCCCAAGCAGTTAAAGGATCCTCCCTACTTCCCATCACCTCCACCTGCCAATCAAGTATATAGAGAGAGAGAACATCTCTGAAGATGGCCCAACTTTTGGGGAGGCTGAATTTGAGGTATCAAAGGGCATCCATACAGAAATGTCTAGAATACAGACACTCAAGTTCAAGAGGCATGTCAAACAGAGATCTGAGAGCCAAAAAATAAAACAAGAAAAACTTGTTTTTACAGCAAAACTTGTATGGCGTATAAGTGATAACTAAGAACATAATGATGTCCAAAGATAATATCAAGATTCTATGGTCTTTAGTTGTTTGAAAAATACAATTAATTCTTGTAGCTTAAACTTACAACTAAAGAATCTTCAACATCTTGATTTGGCATCTCAAAATCAAATACAAAAAGAAACAGATAAAAACATCCATTATTCATAAATGTTACATTTCAGACTCAAAAGGAGAAATGCTGCATATGTTTCCTCATCAAAGAAGTCATTATCATAAAATTCAGATTAAGAAGATGGGAGCATGGTAACAAATGTCACATTATAGTGGAGTGCTAGGTTTCAGAAAACGACTCATTAGAAAGAAAACAAATATGCATGTTTTATTCCACTTATTTCTGAAAATACTTAAATTGAGACTATTTAAAATAACATCATAAATATTATTGCTAATGCATTTTTCCCCCAAAGGAATGGTGTTGAGGATTGGTATTATCAAAATACATATTTTTGATGCAAGGCAGAAAGAAGTATCTAAGCCATTGAATCTGTGTGGATAGGTTGAAGAAATCTTACTAACAGTTTCTGGAAGGTAAAGAAACAATTACAAGGACCAAAATGAATAGACCACCCCAATGACAGTGTCGTGGTACCCTTTCTGTTGTGAGCTCAGTGGACTACCTGTGTGTAAGTAATCCAGTTAGCCTCAAACCATAGGGGAAACAACCTTGGGACTGTGGGCCATATTTACTTGGGAACCCAGATCCTAACTGAAATTATCTCGGGCAATCAAACCAAGATATTAAGGATAGACATAAAGACTGTAATAACAGAAGCCCAGCTGCTATATTTGCTCCACGTATATATTTACCATATCTACAAAGGTATGACTTTGTCTACAAGTAGAAAGAAGGGCTATAGGAAAGGCCAAGTTTGAAGAGTGAAGAGGTTTTTTTTTTTTTTTTGGTTTTTGATTTTTTTAGTGAGATCATAACTGAAATAGTATAGTATCAGTTACAGGCTACATGGGGAAACAAATAGAGACCAAGACAAGGGAAGACAGAGCAAGAATGTTTGGTGAAGGTTAACGAACAGGTACAAAAGCAATGAGGGATTAGAAGATGAAATGACAAGAGTTAGCAGCCAAAGAAAGCTCTAAGTCTGAGATCTCAAAAGAAAATATTTCCTATAAAACAACACAAGAGCAAGGCTGCATGTATATCATTAGAAGTAAAAATCTTGAAGGCAACTCAAGACATGCAAAAACTGAAGAAGAAGAAAGCTACAAAGCCCAATCAACGGTCTACCAGCAGGCTGGCTAACAACTGGTTGAGTAGGTAGGAAAGGACTAGGTAGAAATGTTACAAAACCTGAAAGTAGGACCTAATAGCCAAACTCACAAAGGAATGAAAAAAGATAAAGAAAGCAAAATAATCCTGATTTTTTTCTTTCTTTTTTTCTTTCTTTCTTTTGTTCTTTCAATAAAGTTAAAAAAAATCAGATCCTGGTATTTTCTTTCAAAAATATATTTAGGGATGCCTGAGTAGCTCACTTGGTTGAGTATCCAGCTCTTGATTTCGGCTCAGGTCATGAGCCCAGGGTCATGGGATCAACCCCACTTTGTTTCCATAATGAGCCTGGAACCTGCTTAAGAGTATCTCCCCCTCTTCCTCTCTCTCTCTCTGTGCTGACAGCTTAGAGACAGGTGCCTCCTTCAGATTCTGTGTCTCCTTCTCTCTTTGCCCCTCCCCCACTCACACTCTGTCTCTCTCAAAAATATTTTTTTTAATTTTTAAAAATTAAAAAAAAAAAGAATATCTCCCCTGCTTGTGCATTCTTTCTAACATAAAATTTTTTAAAATGTACTAAAAAATTTTTATATTATTGACTATGACGGGATAGAGTGAAAGCAGCTTTATCTCGACCATATCTAATGCCTTTGGAATTATATAATGTTTAAAAGTCCCCCTACCAGGGGGCACCTGTGTGGCTTAGTTGGTTAACTGGCCAACTCTTGATTTTGGCTCAGCTCATGATCTCAGAGTTTCTGAGTTCAAGCTCTGTGTCAGGCTCTGCACTGACAGTGCGGAGACTTCCTCTCATCCTCTCTCTCTCTCTCTCTCTCTCTCTCTCTCTCTCCCTTGCTCCCATTCTCATTCTCACTCTCTCCCTCTCTCAAAATAAATTAATTAATTAAAAAAAAAGTCTCCCTATCAATAATGAAGAATTCAGAGGACTTTATGGTCCTCCCATTGTCCAACCTTACTCTAGAATGCATGGGAAGCACAAGCATTCTCCTTTACAGACCATCACAAATTATGTAAGAAGAAAGTAACTGAGAACAGACTCCATGACTGTGAGACAGCTATGAAAACTTGATCACATATCTGTCATCATATTACCCAACACCACAAACATCCAATTCCTAGTAAATCACTTATGAGTTTAAAAAAAAAAAAAAAGTCACAAGGTTTAGTGATTCTCAAGGATTTTTAACCACACTTATCAGTAACTTAAACACTTTTCAGGTTTGTCCTGTATAAACAACAAAAGCCAGTTCATATGTGAGCTGACCAAAAATATCCATCATATAATACAAACATGCAAGAACATGTTGTTAATGTCTGCCTACCAAAAGCACTATTAGATGTCAGCAGCATTTGGGAAAATGCAATGTAAATCGAAGAATGTCCTAGGGAAAAGAAACTATGGTGGTTAGGTGATCCCCAATTCATAGATTTAAAAACTAAGGCTCAGAAACATTAAATGCTTTAGCTAAAGGCCCCAAAGAAGGCCAGTGGCAGAGCTGGGATGAGCACACCACCACACTCCACTATCTCAGGGCCCTCTCCTCCTACCCTGCCCCACGTACTATATCCAACAGAGCTGGGCTGGATTTATACATCAATAATACAGTGCTCTTTCTGAAATGTCAAATGAGATGCAGAATCTAAAAGGAGCAGAAACTAAGAAAAATATTTGCTTAATATAAAATAATATTAATTTGAAACTATACCTTTACTGCTTCTGATGAAAGTGCATTTTCCTTTTTCTGACTTGTGCTCATGGGCTCATTTTCAACACTGAAAAATAAAAGCCACAGTTTCTTTGAAATTAAAAGAGAATTACCAAAATACAGTTTGTGTTTAAAGTAAAAATTGAAAAGTCCTTCATATGCAATGCTCAAAGGACTCATATACAAGATGTAAAAGAATATGTTGATTTGAAACTTGAAAACACATTGAAATATACTCATCTGGGCCTCAGAAATTCTTATGAATCTATCATGCACTACAGTTTCTTATGTTGATAATCAGTATCACAGTAATGATGCACCTGAACAAAGAACAGTGTACAACTATCTTGGAAATGATTAACACTATACAATTTTATCTATATTAAGATTCTCCACAGCCTGATAGATATTTTTTAATGCCTATACCAGTGCTATATGGAATACAATATATTTCTACTCAGCAAGTCTTTATAAACATATAGGATCACCTAGTGAACTTTGGGAATACTCAAAAATAGATGCAGGCTTATCTAGCCCTAAATGTGTCCCAGATGGCACCTTAAAAACCAGATTTTCCAGAAAGTCACCTCCCAATTGTCTGGTCTAGAATACCTTCACAGATGCCTTATGTCATAATGAACTATGCTTCCTTATTAGGCGCATATACATTTCAGATATAAATTTTTATATTTCTGTTTTATACATGATCTTATTTTCATACTTTCATAATGCTAGACAAATTGAACAGCTCCCCACTAAGGATTAACCTGACTGTCTGCAGTGCGCCAGAGATTGTGCTTGGCCTTGAGGATTTAAGAACAAGTAAGTCAAGGTCATTACAAAACTCAGTCTTGTAGGGGAGACTGATATACAAACAAACTAAAAATACAGTTTGGTAAAAGCTACAACTGCTCAAAGAACAAAATACTATGAAGCACAGAGGAAGCAAAGCAGAGCAATTCTGTCTAAGTGCCCGCAGAGGAAGCACAAAGGAGGGGTAATAGAGAATATAGCATTTTCAGGGGACTATGTTTTGTTTGTTTGTTTGTAATATAAGACTGAAGCACAACAACTTGTGTCAGGCAAAGATAAACTTGCGAGAGAGGAGAATGATAGCAGAGGTAGTGGCTGCCAGACTATGAAGAACTTGTCTGACACGTTTCAGAACTTGATCTTTGTCCTACTATCACTGGGAAGCCTTTAGGCAAGGGACAAACATAAGGCAGGAGGGATGATAAAGGTTAGGGAAAACATAGGGCCTCATGGTGAAGGGATGAAAAGGAGGTGGTCTCAATAGCTCAGATTAGACACAGAAGAAAGAGAAGACATGATTCAGGCTAGTTAGGTTTTCTATCTGTAATGTCCAGGACAATTATGTAGACTATCCAGGGAACAAATAGTAATGATAAAAAGACAGAAAGGTAGAAAGATCATGAACATGGGAAAATACAACAGATTTAAATTTCATTGAATCTCAAATGAAATATTCAATGAATCTCAATGAAATATTCAAACCAATAAGAAATAGTCATACTCATAAGCCTTTGAAATGTCAACAGGAAAAGCAACTATGTAAAGGAGATAAATATGTGCTTAACACATGAAAATTCCATATGAAAAAGGACAGAAATAGAAAATACTGTAGAATTCAGAATTGTAACCAAAAACATATACACACACAAACACACACAAAATGTCTCAAACATTGCTACTTTAAAAGTGGTAGGGTTCTTATTTCCATTTTCTATTTATTTTCTATTTTAGCTTTATTTGTCACAGGTAGTTAACAATTTTTTTTTTAATTTGACGGAGCGATAGAGAGAGAGAGAGAGAGAGAGAGGGAGAGAGAGGGTTTGTGGGTTCCAGGCCTGTGTCAGGCTTTGTGCTGACAGTTCAGAGCCTGGAGCCTGCTTTGGATTCTGTGTCTCCTTCTCTCTCTGCCCCTCCCACACTGATGCTCTGTCTCTGTCTCTCAAAAATGAATAAAGCTTACAAAAAACTGAAATACTAGGGGCGCCTGGGTGGCTCAGTTGGTTAAGCATCCGACTTTGGTTCAGGTCATGATCTCAGGGTCTTGAGTTCAAGCCCTGCATCGGGCTCTGTGCTGATAGCTCAGAGCCTGGAGCCTGCTTCAGATTCTGTGTCTCCCTCTCTCTCTGTTCCTCCCCCTCTCACACACTGTCTCTCTCTCTCAAAAAATAAATAAACATTAAAAAAATTGAAATTCTAGAGTGTTTACAGCACTCTCTGTAAACTTACTGCGTTAGTGAGATTGTAAATGAAAATAGTAAAAGTTTCTTTTCTAGTACAAAAGGTCTGTAGAAAATGTAGCTCCAGGTTCATGAGAGCAACACAGAAATCAATATTTTCAAGTAGTTATAATTACATACTCTATAGACACACACAAAATGCCAGAAAAATATAGTTGTAGGTCAGCATATAAATATTTTGTATTGAGTAAACAAATGAATAATTAAAAGCTGGAAAAAAAATACCTTCAGAAAATTTCTAAAACTTATGTCCTATGTTTAAGTCTCATGAATCTTACTGCTAAACCAAAATTTCAAAATTGTTGAGTTCTAAAGTAAACAACACATTTTAGAATTCTGGTTTAGCTAGGGGCACCTTGGTGGCTCAGTCAGTTAAGCGTCCGACGTCGGCTCAGGTCATGATCTCACGGTTCGTGGGTTCGAGCCACACGTTGGGCTCTGTGCTGACAGCCAGCTCAGAGCCTGGAGCCTGTTTCCTATTCTGCGTCTCCCTCTCTCTCTGACCTTCCTCTGCTCACACTGCCTCTCTCTCTCTGTCAGAAATAAATAAACCATTAAAAACAAATTAAAAAAAAAGAATTCTGGTTTAGCTATAAAAATCAGTGTTTCAGTTAAAGCTTTCCCCACCTCTTTTCTAGTTTACCAACGAAGAGTCCTTCTTAACTGATCTCAGCCCTCTTCAGGATTGCTGTTTCAATCCCTTATTCTGTCAAAATGATTATCAATCTGATCATCACACTTTCCAGTTTAAAAATTCCTTCAGATTCATCAGTCTATGAGTTGATGCATAAAATGAAGGGTTCTTAGGATACAGAAAGTTACGTGGTCCCAGATACACCCATCACAGAGCCACTTCACATTCTCAGAATATGCCAGAAAACCACTTTCTTCTCTGTCTGCAACATCCTTGACACCCTGCCCAGCTCTTATTCCTTTACAATTTAGGCTGAGCTTAATCTTTGTTTTTTTGAGTTCTCACTGAACCTAGTGATACCACACATACATTTCTGCTGTATACTATAATGTCTATCTAATTAGAATTTTAACTCATTATTTTCAGAAACTGTATCATTCATGTCTATATCCCAGAGCCTAGCATTGTGTCTAGCATTCAAATATTATTTGTTAAATGAATTTTTAAAAAATGATACCAAACAGGTTCTTCATTTGTTCCTGCTTTATCAAAAAAAAATGGGAAAAATGTAATAAAACTTTTTTTTCTTAATGAAGTAGTGTGTAAGTCTCCTAAAAGAATATACACCTTTCTCAAAAAGGTATAAAGAAGAGAGTGGGGCGGTTAGAAGAAAATTACTCAACAGAAATAAGATTATTCTGAGATGATTTAAAGGCGAAACACACACACAAAACAGAATAGATGAAAATACTGAAAATATTGACTTACAGGTTGGCTTAGTTAAAAAAAATGAACACAAAAGACTCAAAAGGCTTGGAATAGTATTCTCAGACTCCTAAATATATAAGGGAAAGAGAAACATGTTCAAATTCAGACGATCTCAAACCTTATGAAAGACGACAATCCGTTTCTATTGTTCTCTCACAATTTAACCCCCTTTGGGACCCTGGAATATTTCAAAAGCAGTATTTTTAGAAAGCACACATTTTGCTCATGGCTGGGGGTGAGGGGCAGGAATCATAATCACACGGAGGCACAAATAAGACCACCTTGCATTTCTAAGTAGCCTCATCTTACTTATTAGCTAAGGGAACTCTGGAAATTAATCTTTCAAAACAGCCCAGGTAATAAATATCAAGGTCTAAGTAACACAGAAGCTTCTCATTTTTGAAGCAATCTAATTTAGACCATACCTGAAAACCAGGACTCCAACATGCAATCATTAGCCATCTATTTTCCAGACACAAATTAAAACAAAACTCTGGGCCAAGAAAAAAAATAAAGCATATTCTAGAGTTCAAATAATTTACACAGAGGAAAGTCTCTATCCTGTCACTTAATATTTATCTTATACTCGCATTTTTTTAATTAAAGATTCTCTAACCCATTGCAAATAAGCAGAAGACTGGCACAACAACTCACTCACTCACCAGATAAGTACTGCTCCCTCCCTTTCAAATCCCTTTGAAGTGCCAGACACTGTTCTCAGTGTTAGGGGTTAAGCAGTGAACACACCAGACGAAACCTTTGTCCTCACTCCTTCAGAATCTCTACCTAGATGCACCACGATCAGCTGGGCAATCTTATTATAAAGCAAATTTATGGCTCTAATTGTCAAGCATTCCAGCAGGAGTGGGACCCAGTAGACCACATTTTCAATAACCAATTCCCCCTACCCAGGACTGTTCTTTTTTTTTTTTTTTTTTAATGTTTATTTATTTCTAGCAGAGAGAGAGAGAGACTGCGTGAGCAGGGGAGGGTCAGAGAGAGAGGGAGTCACAGACTCAGAAACAGGCTCCAGACTCTGAGCTGGCAGTCAGCACAGAGCCCGACGCGGGGCTCGAACCCACGAACCGCGAGATCATGACCTGAGTGAAAGTCGGACGCTTAACCGACTAAGCCACCCGGGCGCCCCTACCCAGGACTGTTCTCAAGCAGGTGGCTGTCTGACCACACTCTTGGTAAACAATTCTTCCGCAGAAGCCAACAAATGAGAGCTGTATAAGGGAAGAGAATGATCCAGTCTGTGGGACCTCCATTTAGTGTTATTTAAATATGTTCAGTGTTGATAGTTAAAGGGTATGTATCAATTATTTAGAAAACTCAAGTCATGTAAAACATCACCCATTTTCCAAAAGCCATGCCCTGCAGAGCTCCTGGCCC